TCAATTGTGCGACAAGAAGGCGTTGATTGTTGTGTCGGATTTAAGTCTTCTACATCCGGTTTTTCTTTACCCTTTAAGCAGAAATGCGGTGAACAAATAAATATGAAATCATATGGGGTTACAGAATATGCACTGCACATTATTTCATTATTTTATTTCCATTTGAATGCAAACAAACATTTAATATTGCAGAAGTGATTATCGTAAGTCACCGGGATGATTTCCGTAGTGACTGGTGATAACTAGTGTACAAAACGGTATTCAATTTTATGTTAAAAACCAGAGTAAGAAAGCACGGAACATATAGATACATGCTTAAAGAGTGAATTTATAGTCTTAATATAGAGAATTTTTCTGCTCTTAATGAAAGCAATTTTGGCTAAATTAAAAGTCCGAAAGATAATCTAGAAGATACAGCTAAAATCTTGAAAATGTGAGGACCATCACTCACCGACCTCAAGAGTAATAAATTACAAAACACTCTTGATAACAAATGAGTGAACATAACAAGCACATTGGCGCATCATATACAAAACTAAATACAGTAATGAATTTCGCTTAAAAGGGTAAAGAAAAACCGGATGTAGAAGACTTAAATCCGACACAACAATCAACGCCTTCTTGTCGCACAATTGATCTAGTTCTATCGAATTTCCTACTTGTAGATGAAACATATCATAAATTACAAATGTTTAAATATAAAGTAATGTATAGTATAACCGAAAGAAATCTTGAGTCTAAGGTTCTCATATATGTAATTGCAAATACGAGTGTAAATTGAAGAGATAAAGTATGCATTCCTAAAAAATATTAAAACACATAAGGATCGTCCGTTACGAATGCAAATAATAATAATAATAATAATACTGTTTTTATAATGCGAATATTTACGTGAGGTTAAGTTTCAACAAAAAAAGTACAGTACGAGGTATCACCCAGGCCTTTACATAAAATACATAGTCTATAATGATAAATGATGTGTCAATACAATGGAATAAATGTGTCAATGCTAATAATAAATGAAATCGAGAAAACATAATTACCCTCGCTAACTCAGGCTTCACTATGGCAAAACTGGAAGCTTGTCCGGCGCCTTCTTCGCTAGATTCGGTGTCGCTCCAATGTTCGCTACGCGAATGAAATCTAGCGCGCCGACAGACGATATGCGCGTAATAAACCGGTGGTACCTATCAAAGCACAATAAGAGGGTGGGTTGGTCATCAAATGACAAGAACGAAAACTGGGAACAGAGATGAAACGCACCAAAGATACCGCACGAGTGCAACGCGCATATAAATAGCACAGGTTATAAGATAACGCTTGAATTCTAAAGGGGGTTATAAAAAATTATTTCGGATGTTACGGTGAATTATGAATGAAAGAGGTAAAACCTACCCATCCGCAGAAAATTGATTTTCATCGTATAAGATGTAGTAATGCGTGGGCCGAGAAGTACCTTGTAGGCCTGCGTGGCTTTGAATATCTGTACAAAAACAATTGATCGGTCGACTGATCACAAATCGAGTAAGGTCGAAAAATTTATGAAATTCCAACTTACAAAAATCAAATTCAAATGGATGAGTAATCGTTGATTCAACTACAGTCCCGGGGAGGCAATTTCCGGTCCTATCCGCATCTTTTTTATCCAAAGGAAAAAAGCGTATATGATGACGTTTCTGGACGATCACAAAGGTGATGGATGGCTTATAGGTTTCGCTCAGCGAAGCGCACGCCACTATTCAGGGAGCAAAGAGGTTAAGAGAAAAGTGACCTATCAAAGAATGATAATAGGCATTACGTACTCCTTACTGCATTAATTTCACCGTTCATCACTTGAGTAAATTGACCCTCGGAGACGCCATCACGATAAAACAGAATCCGTTCCGGTTTTCTACCACAAGTTTGATAAAAGTTTTTCAAGAGATCTTTTACCATAGAGGCCAAATCGGCGATTATTTCGGTGCGTCCTGTTTGAATCCGGATTGTCGCAGAGTATCGCGATGCCCTTGCGTCCAACGAAGCGCAAACAGCAGAAACAGACGGACGGGAGGGATCGCCTAATAGATCATCAGAAATCAAGGAGGAATATTATAGAGTCGTTGACTAATGGGAGTAAGCATGAGAAAACCGTGAAATTACCGGCAGCGGGATGAGAAATGTCAGCACCCAACAGAATTGTTGGGCGGTCAGAAATAAAGGGGATTTGTGTGGGAGTAATGTAAAGGTTCATCCCTCCAAGTTTGACATTAAGTTTAAGACAGACATTCGCACAATATTGTTTCTTCGCTTGCATCATGTGACGACCTTGAATACATTGACTGGGTACCCCAATGATGGTATCGGTGACTCGTTTGATCTCCGCATAAAGAGGGACGCCGGTGTTTGGTAGGATACATAAGATCAATTGAGGTTGCGCTTTGGCTGCATTACCGGCACGAAGCCATGATTGCTTGAGGGTAGCCTCGATATCCCCCTGCGGGTTAGAATGCATTATCGGGGGTGTCCTGTTGGGAATATTCTATCGGTTCCACGAGAAGGGTATGATCATCGAAAAAAAATGTTTAGTATTCACACCAAGAAGTTAATGAAATCCTATCGTCTTGCAGCTTACGCACCACTCCATTTTCTTGACATGTGATAACAAGTTCACGCGTGAACGCCTGAATCGCTCGATGGGGAAATTCACTATCGGACCCAAAAGCAATAATCGACCAGGAACCGAGGGTAGCCCCCTGAGCAACTTTCTTACCTTTCATGTTCCACGATCCCTCGTGCGGAACGATAGAAGGTTCTCGAGAAGTGGGATGATACTGAAGAGTAGGTGCCGAGAGGACACGTGCCGGGGTCTAAACAAGAGAATGAGAATGCTGTAGCTTATGGTGTATGTTTAATACGAACAAGGGAAAGACCTACCACGACCATATCATTGGAGACATTCACACCAAACTGTTGCAGGTATTCGTTACCACGATAATTAAGAGTGTCTACACCCTGCAGAATTTTATTGGCTCGCAAATAAGGCGGTTGACAGGTGAACCTGATCATATCGGCCGTTTGTCTTTCATTGAGTTTGCGAATATAACGTTGTCCCTATTTTATTGCTTGCCAGGTTAGCGAAAAGTATGACCAATTTTTCGTAGAAAGATTTTTTGCGTAATTACATCGATCACTTCGCAAACTTCCAAGGGAAGACAAACATTTTTTGCGACAACGACGCATGGGAGGTGGGGATAGGCCAAACGTTGACTATAGGTCTTCTCGAAGTAGTCTGCAACATTAGTAGTGGAACCGTCGCCGGCATTAAACATCGTTTGATTTGCAGAGGTTGCGGTAATCTTATTGATCTTGAAACGGCGTTTGGAGGTGACCTCCCCTCGATGTATGACTTTAATCTTCAAGTTCTTTATTGATTTTTCGAGTTTAATACGTTCCTTTTCGGTTATCCCTCGTCGGAGGTCGTCAGGTGTGCGTCGACCTAGCAACTTTGTAATCAGCGTTACTAGTGGGCCCGCTTCGTAGAATGCCGTTGCGCTCAAATCGACGTTGATCATGATTTTTCCTATGTCGTGCAAAACCAAGATTATCTCTAACTCTAACAGGTGCTTTTAAGAGGATGCGTGTGAGCAAGAATGAATTGATGATGACCTTTCGCTGGACGCGCTGATTGATAGTATCCCTGCCAGATTTCGATGCCTCCTGCGAGAGCGGTAGTATCATCCCTTGTGAAAAACGAACGACCAACGGTGACACTTTTCATCGAAGGAAGGTGCCTGATAAGCACATCGATGGCCATGATACCTTTGATTCAAAATAGAAGAGAGGAATATAAGCGGAACGCATTCGGGATCTAGATGACACTGAGGGAAAGCAACTATCAATACCGGTCAAGCAGTTCGGTGTTAATCGACCTCGGCCTTCAAGAAATCGATGAAGCTCTTCCATAATGATCACACTAGTCTTCTTCATCTTAATTTTGAAAGCCCTAGGAGTTCGTCTTGTAGATACGAAGCCGTCATTTTCAGGAAGCGTAACCTATCGTGAAAAAACTCTTTCTTTGTATCAAAATGGGTTATTGCAACCGCAAGCAAAATATCTCACTCACATCAAATGTGGCCACCTCTCCAAAGGGTAGTTGACGAGATGCGAAGATATTTTTGCGCCCTATCAAGAGAAATTAAAATCAATGTGACAATTGTTGAAAACCACGTTAATTGATTCATACCATCAAAGACGACTCGAGTATGGTGAAGAGTTGAGGCGAGGTTTTCCTTCTCAAATTCCGCGTAGATCTTTCTATTCAACGCCGGGGGAACGTTAGGGGTGATCGTGACGTCGTATTGGATGATCTTATCCTTCGGGAGGGAAAAAACTTCAAAAAAGTTGGAGCGAACCCTTATTCCTTTTCCCAAGCGACCAAAATCGGGTCTTTGCACAAATTCGGTTAGGTGAGACATTTTTTTTTGCACACGGAGATACGAGGTCGTGATTGAGAAAAAAAAAAGGGGAATTGACAACGATCAATTTTTTTTATACAAACCTGAAAAATCGGGAGAAAGCGAATAGAGAAGCGAAACATTATGTAATGATTACAATTTGGCACTATTAAATAATGGTATGATGTCGACAGAAAAGTGCACTTCCCTCAACCAGTTCCCTTGAACATCTGACACGTATAAAATTTCGAATGTGTCATTTTAAAATTCCTCGAGTGACACGTAGAGAAGCCTTCACTTTCCTGTGTGACGCTGTTCAATGGATATTTTCTTTTTTCAAACTGTGTAATCATGAGGACATAATTTTTCACGATTTAATGACGTGTCAAATTATGTTTTTTGACGCGAAAGAAAGTGATATAATTCTTCTGTCGATTGTGTACCCGTTTTAATCTTATAATATCACAAATACGCAATATGATCATTGATAATGTTTGTGATTGTTCACATATTTCCGGACAAGTGTTCCGGACTGCATTCAAATTGAGTTTATACAGTACAGTACAATATTGTAAATCTCAAAACATGATACGTATTGTACATGCGTGCAACCACGAGACAAATTAAAGATGCTGTGTGTGTTCTTGACCTCGCCATAACCAATGAATTTCCTTTTTTAAAGAAGTTAAACAATGCCGGACAAGTCGATCTTCTCCAAAGTCGCCAACAAAAACGATTCCACGTGAGAAGACGTTTGCCTTGTTCCTCTTATAAATAGATAGATCACACGGGATGAATGCTGGTCTCGCTTTTTCCCTGCAAATTAACTCACAGGCAATTGATTAGATCTTTATAGATTGAATTTTCCTTCTTTTAGTAGACCAACTAACCTGAATCCAATGGACGTGACATACAATGCATCAGGAGAGGAAGGTTATGATGGCACTAATGGTTCAAGCTATTATGATACTTCATCGTACCACGGCCGAAATGGTGGAAATGCAACGGCACCAGGTGAAGGAATGAAAGGTGGAACCATCAAGATTAAATTATCATCTGTAAATAATCCCATAAGTCCTGGACACATCCATATTCAAGGATCGCTGGATCAACCTTTTGGTCAAAGTGAACAAATCAACGAAGATATCTTTTTAGGTGCTAACGGTCTAATTAATCTTTTCGCCCAAGGCGGACGCGGCGGGAACGGAGTGAGCAGGCATTCATAAAATGCTATTATTTGAGTTTATTAGTGTGAGAAAAGTACAAATGATATCATCTTTTACTTCCGAACTAAAAATAGGCCAATGGTGGGAAGGGGCAGGACGGAGCTAAAGGAACGGGTAGGGTCGTTTCTCCAAATTCATGTTCAGAAATTTCGATTCCGGCCATTTGTTTTGACTCGTTAAATTTTAACCAAATACCTCATAGATGGAGACGACGCTACCACTTACTCCGCAGGTACTGACGGTACTTCCGGTTATGATGGAGGACACGCTGGTTCGGGTTCTAGCGGAGCTGATGGTCAGTATATTTGAGGTAATTGTTGTTGATAATGTGCTTAAAATGGAAAAGCTAACTTCGTCTTTGACGGTATGAGGTGGGTCCGGAGGTGTTATTAATGTAATTGTACCGGAAGAAGATTCGCATCTACTTCTTTTGCTTGGCACTCACAATGTTGAAGGTGGCCCTGGAGGATCACCCGGAAGAAACGGACAGCGTAAGTGACCAAGTGTTTTAAGGTAGAATATTAAGAACGCTAGATAAACGTCTAATCAATCTTGTACGGGTAATTGCAGCCGGCACAGGTGGAAGGGGTGGAAGGGGTGGAAACATGAAACGCTGGTCGGAAACCCGGCGTGACAGCCAAGGAAATACTTATTCGGTGACCAAAACTCGAGCGGGAGGTGTTGATGGCGCAGACGGTCGAAATGGAAATTATTCAAATGCTCATCTGAAACAAGGAAAGCAAGGAATGAGAGGGAGGTTTTCATTCGGTGTTCGAATTGGAGGATCGGTAATCACATACAGCAACCTGTTCAGGTTGGAGCTAGTGGACTTTAAACACGAAGCTCAGAACGCGTCTGGCGTCATTGAACCTTCCGGCAGAGTTATAATCCATAGCATGAAATTTAAAAATTCTGGTGGAATGCCCACCCCAAGGCACAAGGACATACGAATAGCACTTCGACCGTATAGCAATATGGTCGCAAATAGTACACAAATTAACGCACCCAAACCGATTCAACCTAACGACACTGCCATCTCTCGAGACCCTTTGCACGTAAGAATAAACGATGTGGATACGGTGAGCGACGGAAATCCACTTCAACAATCTATTAACGTAGGATTTACAGCAACAATGACAGATATCGAACGACCCCTGCAGCTGACACTTCAACAACAACTCCATTTTGTTGTCCAATATCCGATCAATGTTAGTGAAGTGATAGCGATACACGTACCCGGAGATAAACACACGTATGAACTCTTTTGGTCCGTGACCAACATAGGACACTGCGATCTCGGTCGACAATCGAATTGCGGTCGTCAAATTCGAGCAGTATTAAATAAAGGTGAAACGACTAATGATCAACAACCACTTGAACTCGGGGAAGTAAACTTACTGCATGCAGGTGAATCCAAACAATTAGCCTATCGCATTCAACTGGACGATACGCTTGGAACTGGATGGCAACACTTTTCGGTAACATTGCAAATTGGAAAAATGGATCAACCGGATTCATTAAAATCCATCCAAAGACGACGGTTTCTGGTTAAGCCGGCAACGCTTCAAGAAAATGACTTGTTACTCTGCACATATAATAACCCATGTACAAATGTACCGAGCAGTTGGAACGGAAATGTGGATTACAAGGGCGAGATCGATATTAGGTTGTCAAATCCAGCCAATGCAACGAATATGGGTGAGGTTCTGATATGCGGTACCATGAAATATAATAACGGTTGTAAGATTGAATTGGATCACCAATTTTCTTTTCGAACCGATGGTCATATTTACTTATCAACTGGAAACCGTGGCGGAAATGTAACCGTTACGGTTGCTGAGCACGAATCACATTTATTATTACTTCTGGCACATAACTTTAACGACCCTCTTAATGCTCTTACAAACTGGAAGTTTAAGATCGTCAATGAAACGTACAATAGAATCGAAGAATTTGATAGACCATTTAAATTAGAGCTCCGTGATTTTGTCGTTCACGCCGATAACCTGGACAATATATATGAACCGAGTGGCAGGGCAAGAATTCGAAATCTTCGAGTTTGCAATGTGAGTCAGATGCCAACGCCCAGCAATCATGAAATACGAATCACGCTTAATCCGAGCGATTGGATAGTTCCTGACGACACATCATTCACGGTTCCCAAATCAATACCTGCGGGGGGAGAGGTCGTCCTACAGAAATCGTTTGAATTTTCGTTGTGCGACGATACCGAAACTAACCACCTCACACCGTTGAGAATTCCAGATAACATTAAATTCAATGCAATAATGACAGCTGGAAATCGCATACTACCATCATTCAGTATATCAAAACCGATTCAAATTCAGTATCCGATCGAAATCGGTGAGTTTGTTGGATTTCGTCATCCTGGTGAAGATGAAATCTTTAGTATATTTTGGTGCATCAAGAATCTTAGCCGAGCGAAATTTGGCAAGAATTCGGAGCTTGGTCGCATGGTTGAAACGTCGGTATTTCGAATTGGATCTGATGAGAATCGTCGTGCAGTGATTTATATGAAAGACCTTGAATCGTTTGCACCAAACGAGATCATATCTTTGAAAACAAAGACAAAGTTAGAAAGGAAAAATGACAAATATACCAATACTCAATTTGAGTCGCACTTGCGATTAGGAACACCAGAATTTCCAGAAACTCCAAGGCAAATTCAATTACATCGATTCCTATTATCACCTTTCACACTCTCACCGCTCCGAAACACCAAGCACAATCCATTCAACTTGATCCTAAATTTAGGTGAAGGTCGCCTAACCGCAAACGGAACTCAACCAAATGATCATTCTCAACCGGGCGAAATTCGTATTCGTATGTCTGCTCCTAATAGACCAGGAAATAAGCCGGGAGATTTGACGATCGAAGGTACCCTAAAGTACACAAATGGTTGGAAAACAGAATTCAACGATCGATTTTCTCTGGAGAAAACTGGACAAATCTACCTGATTCCAAGTGGAAACAACAACGCAACTGCGGGTACTATTGACATCGAAAGTTCAGTCAATGATACACATCTCTTGTACTTGATTCACGAGGCCACGCTGGTCAAATGTCGGGACGTACTGTTACGAATTCAGTCGAGTGAAAATGAGCAGCATTATCGAGGACTATATAAGTTGGAATTGATGGATTTTGAGTGCGAGCCCGAGGACCAAAGTTCGATTTATGAGCCTGGAGCAAGAATCATTGTGCGCAATATTATTGTGAAGAACACCGGTCAAATGCCAACTCCTAGCATTAAAGATGTCAAATTGTCTGTTATTGGAACGATCGAGATAATTTCCACCGAGGAAAGTATAATCTTACCCAAATCCATCGGCGCCTCCCATGAAGTGACCTTAAATTCAAAGAGAAATAATGATAAGGTTCTGGACTTTAACATTAAATCCGAAAACAAGCCGTCATATGGAAAACCACTTGAAAAAAAATATACAGTTAACCTAAGGGCAATCATGGGCGGGATAGAACGTCAAATAATCTCATTTAAACGACCAAAAGAGCTTGACATCAAGTATCCAATTCAGATATGCCCTAAAGCAGGAGTTCGAGATTTTGCTACAGATGATGAAACGATGGTCATTTGGGTATTAAATAACATTAGTCAGATTTCATTTGGTGCTGAATCTGATTGTAAGAGATTAGTAAAAGTCGGAGTTACCCTCGATGAAGTCGAACCGCCCAATAGCTTAAGATTTTTTAGAGCCAACATGGAAGATAAAGAATCCAAGGACACGCCCTCCAATTATTACGAACAAGAAATTTCCTTATTCCAAGCTAACCAGGAGGTCACGATGTTTTGCACGTTAATCCCCAACAATGACGCGATAGGTTCTGAAGATGATTCACAGGTACTCATCACAGCAAAGCTTTCGATCGCCCTTAAACTTGGTTCTATAAAGAATCCCGCCAAAGTTCAGGATATTGAAATCAGAAAACACGAAATGATAGTATCGCCGAAATATGAAGTTAACAGAAAGGCGGACTTACTTATTGTGATCAATCGTGACACCAGAAAAGAAGAACACGATGCATGGAGGGAATTATGTAAAGAAACGAAATTAAGAAGTTCCGTGTGGGATCTTTCCCGAATGGGTCATTTGGATTTGTTTACTTCGTATTCTGATTCGTCATTAAAATCAACCCGAAAGTCGCGACAAGAATACACAGACTCTACGATTGTCGAAGATCAAGTATCAAGGAATGACCAAGACGCCCTAGAGATAGAGATTGCAGAAAACTCCAGATTATCTCGACATGAAGCATCTGATACTCTCGTTGAAGAGATTGATGAAAGTTTTCTGGCAGCCGACTTTCGAGAAAAAACCATCGTCATCCTTAATAATCTATTTGAAGATATTACAAGCATTTCGAATTTGAAAACCAGAGACAAAACTTTAGTCAGAACGTTGGACTACGTGGATCCAAACCAAATATACAAAGCCTTTCGTAACTACGGTATCAAATTCTATATAGTTGGCACCGACATTGATAAAAGGGTACTTGAAGAGTATTTTATTCCAAAAAAAGACATCAACTCATTCCTCGAAACACCCGAGCCAAAGATTAAAAATTACATCAAATATAAAAAAGGTTTTGAACCTAACGATCAAGCGAAAGAAGGTGTGGAAGGTGAAGGGTTTGAATGCATCAAAACGCATCTGAGGCCAATATTTCGTTTTATGTCATCTACGGATTCGTACACAAAGAATAAAGTCAGCAAGCTAAGCAAATCATTGCAGACACTCTATCCGGAACGACGACATTTGGTCATAGTTATGAATGGCGAGAAACGCAAGGAGGATAAGATATTTGTATGCAGAACCGTTGATAGAACCGAAAGACATCTGGGCTATTTGAACTTGACAGAGGATGGCATTCATGATCCAAAGACAATTATCAGCAATGAAAATAAAATCGGATTATTGTCTTGCATAACATTTTCCAGGAGACTTAATAAATTGAAAGAATTGATTTCCGACTCAACTCCAGGAACGGATTCCTCCTTATTGGAATCCCTACAGAAATTATTGGAGGTTGATTTGATAATGGAATTGATTGGATTGTGCAAAATCAACGAAAAAAAAGGCCTGACAACTAAACCTTTATCTGTCGCAAACTTGAAATTCTTCAAAGAATTTTGTGATTTTGTGGTACATTTATTGAAAGAGACAAAAACAATGGAAAATAAATATTCAGGATGGGCACTTGGCGTCATGGCGAACCTGAAGATAACTCTCTATTGCGGTAGAAGATGGACCGACTTTTTTAAATCCAATAAAAATCTTAGAATCCGAATCCTGGAGCGAATAGTTGAGAGCGAATACCAGAAGGTGTTTGAAAAGGTGAATAATCATGTACCAAGTATAACTGTCAAATCGCAAAGTCAAATCCTGGCACGGGAAATAAAGAAACGGGAACAGGGTATTAAGCAAGAATGGAGCCGAGTAAATAATAAAAAAGATGGGAAATTCAATTTCGCTGTTAATAAGACGATTGGGTTCTTAAGTGGAATAGATACATTAAAGAATGATTGGAATATTCTGAACGATAATACCGAGATTGTGGTAACGGATAAAGATTACCGGAAGCTTGAAAGTGACTATACGAAAAAGATTTCCATCATTCAAGAGAAGATTGTGGCATTTAGATCCTTTGGCAATAGATTGGCTCAACAGAAATCCTAAACATTATTTTCTTACATTCATTACAAGATACTGTTAAATATTGATTGATGCATATATATAAATTTCAATAAATCATGTACTGTATATTATCGTGTTATTTCATAATAAACAATTGTATAACAATAAGCGCGTTGTATTGTAAAAATTGCCTGTGGGCGTTCCAAAATAACGCTCTGCACGTGCTTCTGGCCCGAATTAAGCTTAGTTTGGGCCGAAATTTGAAAATATCTTTATTTCAAAATAACGTACATGTGTGTGAGATGTTTATATGAAACCTTATATTTACAGCTTTATCAATAAAAAGTGAGTCTTGATAAGGATGATATTTAAATTACGTATAGATCTATTTAAACATTTAAAAAATTGAATTATGATAAGAAACATGTATTTATGCATACACTATGATTTAATAATAATTTTTTTTTTTTTAGAAATTTGTTAAATCGGTTTATTTTATCTATTCATTATGTAATTATTGAAATCATCTACAGTTTAAAATAAATTATACAGTACGCATTTGGGAAATGACTTGTCCGCAGATTTCGTCGCTTTATGTCACATGGCAGCTACTTTGCACTATTTAACTGTACAGTATCATACGTATTCTTTTTTTAGAAGATGTTTATCACAAAGATATTTCATTTATCCTAAATATCCTTATTACAGTATTCCACTTACACTCATTATCACATAATACTATACTGCATAAAAAAATTTTATTGTTCATCGAGATCTTCGTGCTTGATCATCCCATCACACAACGGCTGGACAACGACTTGCCATTTATATTTTAACAAAGTGATCGTAAGTTATAAAAACATTTCACCCAAAGAGGTTAAGAAAAGGATGCGGATATCACTCTCTAGTTGTAGTGATGTTGAAGATATGGATTGCAATTCATTTATAAACGGGATTGATACTGTGTGAAATAATGGTTTAAATAGACGAGAAACTGATCACGTGTCTAAATTTCTTTACGTACCGTTGCGCAATACAGTAATCACGTAAAAGTAAATTTAATTACAGTACTGTACAAGGCATGTATGTACAATTTGAGTTACAGTGCATATACATACAGTATGTTGTAATTATTTTAATGCAAGAAACACCAAGAATTGTCTTTTTGATCTGACCATTTATCCCACATTGCACGACAAGTCTAAGATGGTAAACCATTTACCAACCGCGTGTTAATAATAACCTAATCGCCTGTTCCATAAACGAATGTGTGAAATGGTACACAAACACTATAATGGAATTAAAAGCGCTGGAAAAACCATGTAATCACTTACAGAATTACCTTTCTTTCGATATCCAAACATCAATTGAATCTATAATTAGCAATGCCAACTCTAGATTCACAGAAGCAAAGACGTGTTCCGAGATACCGTACCTGGAAAAACAGAACGGATAAGTTTATCGCAGAATATGTTGACTTGTCACCAATAGATTCTACAGTTCAACTACGTTTACCAGATGGAACATTGGTCAGCGTACCGTTGGAAGATGTTAGCCGAAATGGAATCATGTACATTTTGAAAACTTGTCAACATCACTTCTCTTCGAAGCAAGGATATAACGAACTTCTTAATAAAGAACTTTCCCAGAGAGTGGATGCGATGTGTTCTATTTGTGGGATTAAGTGGGCCACGAAGCAGGTAACGTAACCTTCGATGCATAACGATTGTTCTGATTTTCGTGATATTAACCAAGTTTCTCTTCAAAAGATGATGAAACTATCAAGATCCGATAATTATGGTAAACATCTGAATGCTAGAAAGGCATTTTCTTTCCAAGTTAATCAAACGTCTATTTACATGCACTATAGTTTGTTACGAATGTGACAGACTGGGGAGCGATGTTCACAATGATGGGTCCGTTGAAGACGACATCGGTGACTTTATTAATATTACAAACCTTGTGTCACTACCTCTTCGCACATGGAAAAACATGGCAGGAACAAGAATGATTAACGCAAAGTTTTGGGGACTCGGGACAGTGAGCCATAGGGTCACGTTGCTCGATGAAAAAAAACAAAAGCATACTTTTGAAATTTTTGAAATGTGTCATGAAGATATTTCATACCTTCAGACAATCCTTCAGAATCTGCTCGCACCAACTCAGCAAGACCTTTTGAGAAGTATCGTGGACTATAGGCAACGGTGCAAATGCTTTTACTGTGAATTTTCACCAAAAGAAACAACATATCAAGAAGGTACCGACGAATCATTTATATTGTATAAAGTTTAGTATTATTTACAGTATATTCACCTGTTCTAGGTACGGAATTGGTCCAAGATAGTGCAAAATCTGAAATAAATAGAATATCCTACCGTCCCTGGAATAGGATTTGGAGAACTCTCAGCGGTACTTTCGACGCCACCTTCGAAAATTTAACCTCCGAAGAAGTAGTATTGCGAACAAGTAGAAATAATGTAATCAATATTCCAATTAGGCAATTAAGTCGAAACGGTTTGTATTACGTTGCAAAATCAAGGTCAATCCTACTTTCCGATGAACAGAAGAGAATGTTTCAGCACGAACTCGAGAATCGCGATGAACGGCAGTGCAACGTATGCAGCTATGATTGGGCCACTTATCAAATGTATCCGTTGAATAGTGTAGCTTTTGGTATGAAAAATATGATACAGTACTTGGGAATTTATTTTAAAATTTTTTCCAAGATGATTCACTTACAAGACCTTGTTATCACAGTGTGCTTTCGTTGTGACTTTCAACTTTTTAGAGACAAAAGTATTGGAGCGGTGTCCAAGAATATGAATATCATAAAACAAATCTTGGATCAACGTAAGAACAACTCCTCTTTAATCACAAACTCATGTTCTTTATTCAGTTATCTTCTACATTACGTAATCGTGAAATTCAGAATCAAGAAAGATTACACCGAGAAATTGGACAAACCGATTGGGCGAAATTATCACGGATGGGGAATTTCTTGCATTCGGTGTTGTCAGCCACAAAATCGTCATATTAAAACCGAATGGAACAACGACCCCTATCGATTTATCGGATTTAACAGGAGACGATATCATCTTTATCCAGAGAAACCAGGGTTTAAGTAAATGGCAAAATGATATACTGCAGAAAGATCTTGATAGGAGACACGAATGCGAATGCTGTTATTCTGAATGTTTGGAAAGCGAGGTTCGCGGCACATTCTAGTGTTTCGGTAAATGACTAAAACGAATCTGATCTTTTCTTTTTTTTAATGCAGATGATTCTTTGCGAAGCTAACAGAGATCCACACCGATGTGATTATTATTTACTGTATTTGTGCATTATTCGTTCTATATTTTGACCTAATCGGATTGTAAATGCGTCATTCCTCTAGTCTGCTGCGATTGTGCAAGAAGAACGGCAGAACAATTGATGGTTGAAGGTGAAGACTAATATTTAATAAATTTATTAGTATTGTTAAGAACGCGCGAACTCATTTTTTTCCTATTAATAGATAAAACCGAATTTAAATGTATGAGTATAGATGGTTGCGAGGCTGTATTTAGCCTTGATTCCGCGAAAATCTTTCTAAATAAACGGGTCTTCGAAAGATTGATGCGATTGCTCAATCCGGTTGAGGAGGTAAACAATCAATTATCGAAGCTACACAACGTTTTTATCTTATCTATTTCCGTTTATTTGATTTTTCGAATAATCTGGTGGTTCACTCTTTTAAAGGAAGTTGAAGTATTCAAATTTGTGGACTGCCCTTTTTGTCCGTGGGGTGCAATGCTTTCCGATAACGAGGAGTCTCTGACATGTGGAAACATTAATTGTGGTAGAAGATCATGTCGGCAATGCAAAAATATATCTCATCCTAATTTAACCTGTCAAGGTACCGCGCATTGTTCACTCAGCCAATCATTAAACAAAACATTCCATTTTTTTTTACAAAGAACTTTATTATCAGATGCAATCGAGCAAGCTGCTATTAATGCCGAAAGAGCCGCAGCGGAAGCGCAAAGAGCAATGGCGGAGGCCGCACAGGCTCGAGCCGCAGCAGCTTCAGCTCGAGACGCAGTCGTAAGATCCAGACACGAGGCGAGAGCCAAGGAAGCCAGTGCTCGAGCAGCCGAGGCTTTATCAAGAGCAAAAGCCGTAGACGAAAGAATCATGCGTCAACGTGAAGAAGCAATGTCTCGTGCACTAATCAGAGTGTGTCAAAAATGTAGCACACCTATAATAAAATCAGATGGTTGCAATAAAGTGATTTGTACAAAATGCGGTCAAGGTGAGATCTTTTATAATCCAATTGGCCATTTGATAACCTAATACCGTATAATAGAATTGAATCATTTGACGATATTTCATTTCATAAATTTAGCAATGTGCTATTTATGCAGAAGAGCGATTTCGGGTTATGATCATTTTGGGGAATCTTTGGGTAAATTGAATTCTCTGTTAAATTCACACGTAAAAAACGATTAATTACTGATCGATCTCAAATTATATCGATACTGTATAGGTAAATGCCGCCTTATCGATGAAACACCATTAGATGAAATTCATAGACGAGGTAAGTTTACCAGTGATTCTTCATTATTAAATTGAAATTTCATTTGACTTTACGTTTGCTTGTTCTTCATCACGTGCATTTTTAGAGGTCGAGGTCGCCGATAGGCAATTTATGAATCAACACCACTTTAACACATAACTTTACATAATTAATTATACGTATTCGCATTTATGATATCTAACGTACTTTACTAGTGTGTTGGATTCTTGATCATCTTTGAAAGCAGCACGATCGACAAGAATCATTGCGTTATCTTATGACACATTCGACATACACATTTGTTAACTTGAAATAATAAATTAAATGAGTCAATAAAATAAAAGGGTTAACTTTCGCATAAAGTGATTACTCATTACATTTACAGTATCAGGAATCAAATAATAAATCAAATCGTGCACGCACTTCTTTCCTCAAGAATGTCCTTTCAATTTTTGGATAAGTTATCAACAGACTATACTGAATTGCTTAACGATAAAGAGGAATACAATGTGATTATTGACGTTGATAAAGAGTCAAACAAGAAATCGTTTACCGCCCACTCGGTGGTTTTGCGCCACAGATCCTCCTACTTTCGCAAGGAACTGACTAAAGCCGCCGCAGATAAAAATCGAATTAAAACCATCGTTAAACCCAATATTTCTTCTCAAGTCTTCGTAAAAATTCTTAGGTAAAAGAAGTTTAAATTCATAATGCGAATAAATTTAATAAATTTAAAATGCATTAATGTTTTCTTTCTTTCTTTCTGCAGATATGCATATGGTGGAGCTATCGACTTGGGAAATGTAGAAAACGGTTTTGTTTTTGATTTAATGATATCTGCGGATGAATTCGAATTCGAAGAATTATCCAAAAAATTGGAAATTTATCTCATTGAAAAACAAGCCGCCTGGTTACGCGCCCACTTTTTTTCTCGCGTCTTCAATCCCATCAATAGTAAAAATAATCGCTTTAAAAACTTGGAGAAATTTTGTAATAACATCATAGTAAAATACCCTGGTCTTGTATTTGACACAGAGTATTTTAACTCGTTTGAAGAGACAGCATTGATTTCTATTCTCAAGAGAGATGACATACAAATGGATGAAGCAAAGATTTGGGATAAAGTTATTCAGTGGGGAATTGCAAAAATTCCCACTTTACCTTTAAGGATCGAGGAATGGTCTGATGAAGATTTTGCGAAATTAAAAATTACTCTTCAACAATGTTTACCACACATCCGCTATTTTCAATTACGTGGAGAGGATGTTTTTAACAAGCTAGAGCCTTACAAAAAGATTTTAGAAGAAAAACTATGGAATGATCTAATGAAGAAATTAATTATGCCAGATTGGTCGGTGAACTCAACTATCTTGCCCGCAAGATCGAAAAGAGCTTTTTCAAATATCATCAATGATGAACATGCCGCGGAAATTTCATCGTGGATTGATAATAAGTTAGAAGCATATTCGTCGTTAGATATCCCATACGAATTTCGACTAATATTAAGAGGAAGTCGTGATGGATTTAGTCCAGAAACATTCTGGAATATGTGTCACGGTCACATACGTACAGCGATAGTTTTAAAGGTAGAAGGAACTAACGAAATTCTTGGAGGATACAATCCTTTGGCATGGAATAAAAAAACTAAAGAATCTTGTATAGAAACAACCGAAAGTTTTATTTTTTCATTGAAAAATGAGATCTCTAACATAAGTGTTAGAAGAGTAGAAGATAATAAACATGCAATTTTCCACGGTTCATATAGGAAACATGAAATTTCTTACAGTCGAGAATACGGTCCACGTTTTGGGCGCTCAGGAAATCTATGGATATTAATTGATCGCCGCAGGAAATGTTATAGTAAATGGGTTGGTTGTTACGAAGGCCCTAATAGAATTAATGATGGATATTTTTACATATCTGATTATGAGGTATTTGATGTTGTTATGAAAACTACTTAGTAATATCTTCTTTATCCTCTATATTCTACTTTTTTTATTTTTCTCTATTACTTGGCTATGAGCAACATTGCATATTCTTTGATCACGACATACTGACTGTATTTACATATTTTCTTTGATCGCCTATGTAATTAAAGCTATAAATTAATAAATTAACATGCGCCTCATTTTTATTCTTTGTATTATTAAAAATCAAAGAAAAGCTTCGAGTGCATAAATAACATAAAGATAAAACCGGAATATATTAACATGTAATCGCGATTATGGTTCATAAATCAATGTTAAATAATAGCATGTAATAATATCTTTTAAAGTGCCATATCAATTTATAATCAATTGTTTAACTGTTCAATAGGGTCTTATGGGTTTTAAAGTTTAATATTCTAATATAAATATTTATAACATTTGCGAGAGTTAAATTGATCTCTTAAGATGTGATATTTGAATTTCAAAGGTTGAAGTTTGAAAATTTTTATCCGAGTATTTATTTACACAAAACACAATTCCAATTGTGAGCAACTATTCAAATTACCATCAAAATTTCTTTTGCAAAGGCTGAACAATTATTTAACCAGTATCAGTTATTATTGTAGGAGTTAAAATTTATTTAGAGAATTGACCTCTCTTATATACATGTTTTTTTCGGTTATACCGTATTATTAAAATAATACAAATAATTAAAAATAATTAAAATAATAAAATAAGATAAAGACACAAATTACTGCAGATTTGCCAAATTAATATTATTCTAATTATTTGTCTTATTTGTTCATTTGTTTTATTTTGATTATGTTAATTTGTACGATTTATAAGAATAATATGATTGAAAATATTGTATATAGAAAGAATAAACTTTTAAATAAGCTTTAACTTCAATAATAATAGCTTAAATAGTAATTTAAATTGTTGTTTATAAAAATTTAATAAATTTTTTGAATCAAATATTCAATATTAAATATAAATATATTTGGTTTCAACATTTAATATTTTTGAAATAACTTAATTATATGATATAAACAATTATTATATATATAATGTTGATATTAAATTGGTGAGTTTGTTGCTAGTGCCAGGTCAAACTTGTGTGATATTGGATAGATTGTTCTTCTTTTCTCTATTTGAAATATAAATTTGGCTTAATTAATCTTAAAACTGTTATTAACTTTATTCTTTCTCTTGTGTCATCTTTTCTAAATAATTCAAGTTACAATTTTCTTTAATAACTTCCAAAACAATTTTCTCACAATAATTTTAGCCTTAGAAAAATAAATTAATTAACAACTTCCTTTATAGGTCTATCTATCTTACTACCACTTATAATAATTTTATATTAATACTTTAGTATCACATAACTATTTCATGCTTCCTTTCTCTTTTTGTTTTTTCTTTTTATGCTTTTCACTTCTATTTATATGATTATTATTATTTCTAAGTAATATACTATAGAATTATATTGCTATGACTCATAAATTATTATGCTATAAAATAAACTATTTAAACTTTTTATCATATTATAATACTATTTGCTAGAATATTATTACTGCTCCAATTAGACACATTATACAAATGCTATATTATCAGGTCTTATTTAAATATATTTTCTACTAATAATATATGGGTAATTATATTTGAAGATAACAAAAATGCTAGATATGATTTTATCAGATCCGGCTTTTAAACAAAACATATATAATATAAATTTTAAGATTACATCAGAAAATTTCTGGTTCACCTTCAAAAATAATTACTCTTATATATATTATTAATTATAAAAATAATTATAATTAACTATTCAAATTATTATTAAAGTTATTTTTATAAAAATTAATAACTAAAATTATTATTTTAATTATTATTAAAAAGTTAAAAAATTATCTTTTTTTAATAATAAATATATATGGGTAATTATTTTTGAAGATGAACCAAAATTTAAGGTATAATTTTATTACCCTAAAAAAATATAACCTTAAATTTTATATCATATGATATTGATTAATCATGTGATTTTTTATTGATTTAAATTTCTGAGTATTAAATTTTAAAAAGATTAAAATAGTTATATCTTAATCAATACGTAATATTATTTAATAAATGAGTATTCATTTTGAAGCTTATGTCATGAGCTTTCATATAAAAAAAAGTTTATTAATATTTAATAATTAATTGTCGAGATAATTATGTAATAATACTGTCATTTAATTTTCGGATTTTTTTTTTTAAATTTTAAATTTAAAAATTTAAAAATTTATATCTTCATCAAAACATAATATTATTTAATAAATAAGTATTCATTTTGAAGCTTAAGTCATAGGCTTTCATATAAAAAAAATTTGTTAATATTTGATGATTAGTTATCGAGATAATTATGTAATAATATTGTCATTAGATTTTCGAATTTAAAATTTTTAAATTTTCAATCTAAAAGTTTTAATACTGATATCTTCATCAATACGTAAAAGTTTTTAATAAATGAGTATTCATTTTAAAGCTTATGTCATGAAATTTCACATAAAAATTTTTTGTTAATATTGAATAATTAATTATCGAGATAATTATATAATAATATTGTCATTAGATTTTTGAATTTAAAATTATCAAATTTTTAATCTAAAAGTTTTAATATTAATATTACTTGATATTTATATCTCTAAATTTGACAACTTATATTAATTGATTTGAATCTAAAGTGTTTACTAAAAAATAAGGATCAATCCATAGTTGATGTCTTACAAATATATATTTATATAAATTTTTAAGAAGTCATATTTCATTTGACCATATGGCTTCTAGATTTGATAATGTTTAACTAATAATCAAAATTGAAGTATTCATTAGAAAATGCATACTTATATTAAAGGCTTCTATTACTATATGTATTGAGTAAATGAAAAGATATAATGTAATAGACAACTTATATATACTATAGATAATTAATAGTATATGCATAAGATTTAACTAAGCTTTATAGGTTAAGTAATTTAAAACTAGTAATAGGATTTCTATCCTTATAGTATTTTGATATCATAAGAAAAAGTCATCAATTAAGTGATAGGTTTTTGAATACTAGTGAATAAAATTGATAGGTTAATATTTAGTTATAATTATATATTACAAAGGATATTTGATATAATAGACAAATGGTATATACTAATGGAAAACTCTTTCTGCTGATCCTTTTGCCAATCCAAAAAACAGACG